GGGGGGGTCCCCTTCCCCCTCCCCCCCCCCCCCCAGCATGACATGGGAATCCACGGACTAAACAGACTCTCCTGCCTTTCCTTCATCACTTCTTGAGAGAGCATGGGAGCTTGGAGGTGGGGGAGCTAGGAGACAACTGCTGTAGACATGCAGGCTCTCTCCCCCAGTCAGCACCAAAGGAGAGCTGGATCACAGCCTCCTGATCCAATAGCAAATATCTGTTAGATTGGGAGGGTTGGTCTAACTCATGACACTTTCTGTGAAGCATCATAAGTTAGACTGGGGAGCTGCACATCTGTCAGTGCCCTGAATGAACCCAGTTTCCCCCTCCAGCATTTGTACCTTTGTTTAAGGCTCTCAAGAAAATCAGGGTCCCTTTCCTTTCCCACTCATTTTCAAACCCCGCTTCACTCAGAACGCTATCGAATTCTTTTGTACCCCTCTGGGACAAAAGAGGGGTCTGTATAAAGGGCTCTATATAAAGAGGACTCTGTATAAAGAGAAGTGTAATTGTTTTAATTGTTTAATAAATAATTTAATGTTAATTTTACCAATATATTTTTATGTAGCATTTTGGGTTTTGTCTGTATTTCTTGAAAGCTAGCTAATGCTTTCTTGTTTTATTCTCATGCAACTAAAGAACTCATAAATCTCTCTAAATTGCAGCATCCTGAGTTTTTATTTTGAATTTTTTTATACGGCTGTGTTTTAGAGCCAAGGAATTTGTGTTCTGATGAAAAGCATGTTGTAAAACAAGTGTTTTAAGCTGGAAACTAGTAAAATTGGACAGTGAATATTCCTAGCAACAAGGGAATTACAGTGAGACTTCCATAAACACACATTCATGTCAGATGTTATCAGAAGGTTGTATAGGCTTGTTTTTTTAAATAATGGATTTTGCCTGATTTAATTTGAGAAATCAATTGTTCTAATAATTGTTCTCTCTTCCTTTCATTAATTTAATGCTATAGATGAGACACACCAGCAAAAGAATAGGCTATTTGTATATACTTGAAGCCATGTGGTAGGTTTAGGCAGGACACTGCCTGTGATTAAGGTTGGATGACACACCCCATTCTAAGCCACTGTTTTCATTTTGCTAGTCTTTATCCATTCAAGTTGAAATCTTTCATGACAAGTAGCTTTCTCAAGTTTTTATTTTTTATTATTGAAAGTGTTCAGCAGGAGTTCAGGCACTTACCAGAAAAAGATTAAGGAAAAAATGCATTGTTTTGCTCATGTCTTAAAAAAAAAAAAAAAAAAAAAAA